GAGTCCCATTCATGTCCATGGGGCCACTGTAAAGACAATGAAGTGTGACTCTCTCCTGAGACGTATACACTCATGTTCTCAGATGAGATTTACCCTTCCTCTGAGTCCTATTCATTTCTTTTTAACTTCTATGCTTAAAACGTATGTTTTAAAAGCCTTTTAATACACTTTGAATGGGCTTCATAATGGATCTTATTGAAAATTTTTCCTATTATAAAGACAGGGATCCAATTATATCTGAGTGGAGATTTCTGTAAAGAACTCTGCAGGCTGTTAGTGACAGCAGCATGGAGCAATGTTTCCTCCCCTCTACCTCTGACAGCATTCCTTGAGTCTTGATCAACAAGCCTTCAGTGAGTTTATGATTATTTTTTAGGCAGTCAGTGCAGAATGTTAGTTTTCCACACTGGGTCTAGAAAACATTCTTTGATTAATAATGAAAGTCCTACAGTTTCAGTGCTTCTTGGTTTTACATACTATGAATTATGAAAGAAGGGTTTGTCCTCAGTGATCATCAAGCCTAATTAAAAGCAGTCATTGTGATATCTAAGATATTGGGCAAGTGTGGTGGTGTGCACCTTTAACCCCAGTACTTTGAAAGCATTGATGGGGAAGGAAAACTGATCTTCACATTCTAGGCCAGCCTGGGTATACAGGAAGTTTCAGGGTAGGCCTGTGACACAAAGAACCCTATCTAAAAAGCAATCAGTACAATGTTTACCAAGTGCACCGACCCGGTGGTGTGATTTAATCACCCTTCCCATTGTTGGGAATTTGGTTGATGTGACTGGTCACACACTGTACACAAATTTATTTTAGAATCCTTACTAAATTTTGGGATAAATTCCCCAGAGTGGACTTTCTAGAACTAAGGAAGTGAAGCTTTTAAATAATCTTAAAACATACTGCTTGTGTGGATGGAAAAAGCCAAAACAAACAAACACCACTGCTCTTACCTCAAAAGAGCTAGGAGTTTATTTTGGAGTCAAATATGAGTGACCATTGCCTGAAACCAAAGACTATCCCTCATGCCATGTTCCAGCGTAACAACAATTTCATGACGTTATTATAGTCATAGAAGATGGTCATAAATCAAGCTACTTCCTAAATACAAGTTGTTGGTGTTTAATTTTGGCATGTTCCCTGGTAGGCTCACAGAGCAGCCGGTAGTCCAACAAGGACAGCTGTGGGTCCCTGCAAGGTCCCCAGGGTGGTAGGCTGGTCCCGCCATGCGGCCCAGAGAGCAGGCAGGTGGGTGCCGTGGACGGTGGAGTACATGGACATAAGGCTATACACAAAGCTAAACATTTATTATTTAAAGAAGAGGGAAACAGAGAGACATAAAAACAGACATAGGACACACAAAAGACACGTGTGCACACGCCGAGAGAAAAGGACAGAAGAGAAAGAGTTAAGATGGCGACCAGGAGATCAGAAGTGGCTGGGAGTGGGCGTGGCTTGCGCTTAAAGGGACCAGAGCCAAAGGACTAACACAAGTGAAACAGTTTAGGAAAGCAAACAATTTGAGAGCTCCTCACCCAGTCGGGTGGCTTTTTCCAGCAGAGAAACAAGAATTTCAGCACAATTAGTAAATGCTTAAGGTCCTTCCCTCTTTCTAGCCATAAATCTGTTAATTTTGTAGGAACCTCACCAGGAACTCCATTTACAGAAAAATGCTAAACCCCTGGATCAATCCATCTGCTCTTGGTTTCAATTTATCGGATTTTAATTCCATCCAGACATCTTTTGTATTTCTCGATTATCAAAAAGAAAAATTAACAACCTTTGACAATTAAGTCTCAAGAGCAACCAAAATGGCAGTACCCACAGAAGCCTCAACTAGCTGTGGGCTAAGGCAGGGCAGTGAGTAAGCGAGTAGGAGGTGGGGTCCTCAGGACTATTAACTGCTCACCTGATCATGGGCCTTGGGAGAGACGCCCTATTGCATGCACAGAATAATGTGAACTTAAGTACAAAATCAAAACCGCATTAAACAAAGGTGGCTGGGCGGTGGGGGTGGGGGTGGGGGGTCGTTCTGCCAGTGACCGGAATTTGTAAAGGAAATACAATGCGTGCATCTCTCTGTCAGAGATGTGCACCAACCAGCCCATCCTAACCCCAGGGAGGAAGGCTTGTGGCTGCCACTGAAGCACGGGCTACTGGGCCTCTGAAAACTGCGACGGTGCACATTTTTCCCCTTCACAAAAGAAATCAGGCTGGGAGGGGAGGAAAGGAAATCGATTATTCGTAAGCCCTGAGCAAGTAGCACTGTTTCTAAACTTTCCAGTCTGGAGACTCGACAGGTGACAAAGCCAGGGCAGGCTACACCGGGGGCAGCTTCCCTTTTGAGAACCAGGCCTTAGGAACAGCGCATGCGTAGTGCCCGTTCCCGGGCGGCACCCCGCCTTCAGGGGGCGAACCGCGCAGGCGCACGCGCAGGCTTCCGGCGGGCGCCCGGCTCAGC